GGGCTGGCTGGCATGTGGTGCTGGGGGATCGAACTGCGGTCCCTGTGCTTTGCTAAGCTTGTTTCAAGTAGGTGTTTAGACCACTGAGCCATCTCTCCAGCCCGCCCCTTGATCTTGGCCAGGAAGAACCAATATAGTGAAAATGCCCATACTTCCAAAACTGTTATACAGATTTAATGGAATTCAGAGAAAAATTCCAATAGCATATCTCACAGAATTTGAGAAAACAATCCTAAAATTCATTTAGAACCAAAGAGACCTAGAATAACAGAGGCAGTTTTGGGCAACAAATCAAGAGTGCATTCCTGTAATCCCAGCACAGGCACAAGGATCATTACCAGTGCCACATACCCCAGTACCTCAAAATAAACCCAACCCCACCCCAAAACTCCCTAGGACTAGAGGTTCCTTTCCACCCAGTTATTCCCCTTCTGAGTATCTTCCTGAAGGAATTAAAAGCATCATAGGAAGGACTCGGGAGATAGCTCAGTAGAATAAATGCCTGCCTGCAAGTGCAAGGTCCTGAGTTCAATCCCTGTTATCACAAAAAAAATAAATAAAAATAAAAGCATCATAGGACAGCAACATATGCATACTCATGTTTATAGCGGCACACTTTCTAAGAGCCAAGTCTTGGAAACAACCCAAATGCCCATCCTATCAATTGGTGAATAATAAAGATGTTTTTTTTCTTAATTTTATTTTTATGTGTGTGTGCGCGCGCTGCGTTCATGCATGCGTGTGTGTGTGTGTGTGTGTGTGTGGCCAGCTCAGCCCACCAGGGGGCAGGGCTGAATGGCATGTGGTGCTGGGGGACTGAACCGCGGTCCCTGTGCTTTGCTTAGCTTAGCTTGTTCTAAGTAGGTGCTTTAGACCACTGAGCCATCTCACCAGCCTCCTGTGTTTTGTTTTTAATATATACAATGGACTACTCCTTGGCCATAAAGAAGGATAAACTTGAGACATTCCTTTTAAATGGATGCACCTTGAGACCATACTCAAGTGAAATAAATCAGACACTCGTGTAAATACGGCATTGTTTCTCTGTTTCGAGAACTAAAAGTGTAAATAAAGACCAAAATATGTATTAGATATTGTGAAATAAGAAGAAAATGTTCAAATAGGAAAGGGAGTAAGAAAAGGGGAAGGGGGAAAAAAAGTGAGGAAAAAGGAAGAAATGGCAACAAAGCTTTTGTAAATAGGGAGGGGAGGAGGGGTTAGAGGAATGAGAAAAAGAATCAAGTTATAGCACGTACAGATACAAAGTCTTTATGATGAATATGATCATTATGTATATCTAAAATATACCAATAGGGCTGGTGAGATAGCTCAGTGGTCTAAAGCACCTACTTAGAACAAGCTTAGCAAAGCACAGGGACCGCGGTTCAATACCCCAGCACCACATGCCAGCCAGCCCCGCCCCTGGTGGGCTGAGCTGGCCACACACACACACACACACACACACATAAATAAATAAATAAATAAAATTTAAAAAAAAAAGAAATTGTTTAAAAAAAATAAAAATAAAATATACCAATAAACTGATTAAAAAAAAAAAGGCCAAAACCCTTAATGAGTTCCCCTCACTGCCCGTAGTGATATCGTCAGATGGAAGTCCACAAGATTCTAGCCTCTGCTTCCTCCTCCAGCTACTTTTCTTCCTAGACCCCCCCTTCTGTTCCAGACTCAACAGAATTCTTTGTTCTAAATGACAATTCTCCCAGTTTCAGTGGCTTTCACAACCTCACCCCCTGCCAGGAACTTAGGTCTGGTTTTGAGTTTCTGCTTTAGCTGTTCCCTTAACAACCTTTAGTAGGACTTTAGCTCACTGTAAGAACCCTGTACTGGCGGGCCGCCATATCAGACAAACTAGGCTATCTTCACCACACGTAGACGCCCCTCCGGAGACTAGTGGTTGCGCACTCAGGCCTGCCGGCCAGTATTCGGCTGGAAACCCTCATAAACACAGTGCCATCAATCACCAGTGGCTTCACACCAGGCCTTACCGCTTCCCAGAATAATGACACCACTGATCCTAAGCTTTAGCAGCCAGCCACAAGGCAGAGGTCTCCCCAAACCCCTCCTGTCTGAGCACTGCCTCACTCAAAATGGTCTCACAGGCAATTTTACGTGACCTTTAAAAGGCCTTCACCGCCCAAGCCTTGGGGTGAGGCCCCCCACAGCCCCGGGCCACACCCCCCGCCCCTCCCTCCACTCCCCGCCGCACCTCCACCGGGCTGCACACCAGTCTCCCCAGAGGCCCCACGGTGCCTCCCCACGACTCTATTCCATGTGGGCGGCAGTGCTGAACAAACGCTGCGACGCTACACTACCTTTGTCTCCCGGCCAGCCCTGAACCTGCCCCTACCCCTGCATTCTTTGCCCTGTGGCCCCGACCCACTGGGGCGTTCAGTTTCTTCTCCTGCCGGCGCGTCTCGCACCGAACCTCACCCGCTAACAACCGGTCCCCCACGCACTCCAGCCCCGTAACCGGGAGAAGTATGAGCTCGGAGGTCGCCCGCGGCCACACGTAGTCCCCGAGAGCGTCCATGGCAATCCTTTGGCCCGTTGCCTCGGCGCCGAAGACAACCGCGCTCTCGCGAGAACTAGAGAGCTGTGTGGCGTTAGCCCTCAGCTGCAGAACGCGGAGGTCGGGGATCGGCGGCGCACTCCCAATGAAGACGCGCGCCCCGAGTAGCCCGCCTTGTGATTGGCTGGATCCTCAGGAGCAGAGCCGTAGGACTCAGCCTGGCCCACCCCTTCCCCATCCCCCACTGCCCCGCAGCTAGTCTGCCCAGCAACTGGAAGCCACATGGGTTTATTGAACCAAGCAGCATGGGGTCCATACATAATAAATAACAGGAACACAGGAACTGTGTCAAAATCAAGGCTAGAGGCAGGCGTGGGGCAAGACATCCGCCAGGACTTTAGAGCTGGACAGGGGACACCCGGGACCCGGCCCTGGGGGTGGCAGCCCAGCCATGGTTTGGGGCTGACCCTCCCTTCAGAGCTCCACGCGTGCATTTCGGTAGGCTCGGTCCAGGGCCCATTCGGGCTGTGAGTCTGTACCACCTTCGCGGGACAGGCGTGCCATCTCCTGTTGAAACAGGGCTTGTCGTGCCTGGCTGGGATCCACGTTGATCCAGTTGTTGGCAATCCATTTGGTGCCACGTGTGACCAGGCACCCCCCGTGCAACGAGTAATCATCCACGTCGCCCACCCAGCCTAGAAAGAAGTGTGACATGAGCACAGGACAGGTTGTGAGCAGCCTCCCTCTGGACTGGCCTGAGCTTGGCCACAGACAGCCTTGACATGGCAAGGGGGGCCCACACTGAACATGAGCTGAGCAGCAAATACCCAATGCCAAAGCTTCCTTTGGGGGTTCAGCATCCCACCCAGGTAATGTACAGTCAACATCCTTGGCCCTCTGAATCTACTTTTACTGCTGAATGAGCCCTCAGCGCTGCATCCTGGGCTGTGAGGTAATATCTGTCCCCAGTTCCAGAGAAAGAATGACAGATGTTGAGATAAGCCAGAAGCAGCACTGGTGCTTAGGTCACCTACAGCAATCACTATAGGATGGGCTTGGGGAGGCCTAGAACAAAAAAAGCATTTGGAGGACAGCCAGAAACAGCCCTCCAGGGTAGCATATGGGCACTCGGTAAAGGGAAGCTGCCCTCAGGGAACCCCCTGGCCTGGCTGTAGATCCTCACCTTGCCCATCTGGCAGGTAGTTGTACCAGAAGACTGCTGTGCCTTGTCGAGGCTTGACAAGCAGGTTCCCTTTGTCACAGTGCCTCCGTGTGTCACGGAGGTCAACATCATCCTGAATCAGACTCTGTGGACAGCCAATGTGATGGAGTTTTTAGGCCAATGGCCCAGCAACTCCCACTGTGTAGCCAGGCAGCCAAATGTGCCAGTGGACCACTTGGGTCCTACTTCCAGGTGTGGAAAGGTGTGCACATTTGCCCAAGTCCCTGCCAACCCACAACCCCAACTCAGTTGGCCCTTACCATTTCATCATAGGTCCTGTTATCTGCTACAGGAAAGACAGTCTCGCCCCCACCGGTGACATTGTTCAAATAAAACAGCACTGTCATGTAGCTGTAAAACAGGGGGGCTGCTGAGCAGGGTTCGCACATTCCTGGGGCTTACATGTGGGCCGAATAAGCTGAATAAGCTGTCCAGGTTCTCAAGGGGTAAAGGGCCAGGTAGGGGTGGATGGATGACAACAGGGCAGGCCAGAGCCCACAAATCCAGTCTTTGACTCTGTATGCCAATGTCTTTGGCCTAGATCACATGTAGCTGAATTGCATGGCCCTTCCCAAGACCCTGGCTGGGAATGCAAGCTAGGAACAGGAAGATCATGCAAAATGTCTTCAGTACTGTAAGAGCCACATGAAGAGACCCAACCTTGTGCCTTGGCAGGGGAAGTAGGTACAGCTTTAGAGTATGAGGCTGAAACCTCAACAATAGAGTCAAGATCAACACCTATGAAAGGGACAGCAGGAGCCCAGCCTTGCCCCTTTTTCAGAGCTATGGGGGCAAGGTTTAGGGTCTGTGGGTATCTTAGTCCATCTTAACTGAAATGGGCACAATGGCCAGTAACCACACCCTTTCCTGCCACTCAGTAAACATCTTAGGACATCACTGATCAGGGTGGTCTAGGGTGCTCTGGGCCCCATGCCAATGTCAAGGAGCACACCCACAGGGCCAGGCTGTGCCTGTCATGGGGGTACCTGTTTGGGGACTCAAAGCCAGCTCCCAGGTGGGAAGTACTTGCCGACAGGAGGTCTCGAAGGGTACAGACTCGTTGGCTACCAGCTTGGTATGGGAGCAGATGGTCTCTGGGTACACAGGTCCACTGTCCACATGAGCATGGTAGTGGCCTCCCTCACCATATCGCACAACCTGCAGCGGCTCGCTGAACTCCACAATCTCAGGTGACAGGCGAGTGAGGCGCAGCACTCTAGTGGACAGTGGGCATTCAGGTGGGCAGCCTCATCCAAGGCAGTTCATAAAGGAGCTGGCAAGGTGGGCCCTGGGCTTGCCACAAGCTCTTTCCCCGACCACCCTCTCGGAAGCCCTTGAGTCATCTTAGACTGGCCCTGTAAGGACAGGCAGGGATCACACATGATGAGCCAGTGACTGAGACACCCACTCTATGGCAAAGAGGAAGTTTCTACTAAATTGAGAGGATGGTGATTGACTCTCCTCTCAGTAACTAGTTTGCTCATCCAAACAGCCTTGCTGGTCAGGGGTAGGTGTCCTATGGGCAGACATGAGGGGTCATTTCTCTAATTAGCAAGAAATAAAATCCCAGTTAGATGTTGTTTGCCCTCAGCTGGTCTAATTTAGTGTTAATTGCCTTTCAATGGTCCCCATCTTATTCTAAAAAAGGAAATTAATCCCTAATCAGCTAATGAATTCTGTTCTTTTGGCCCCACCTGAAGACTTCTATGGAAGCCCTGCCTAAGGAAGATAGCCCCAGCTGCTCACCTCTGGCGGATGGCACGCATGACATGGTGGGCACCCTCCCCCTGGTAGAGCCATGTGTGGTGGCTATTCCGCACCAGCTCGCTGGACTCCGCCTTGTGGCTCCTCATATACATGTGGAAGTCGCGAAGATCCATGTTGGAGAACTCCTGCAGACTCAGCACTCCTGTACAGGGCACTACCATCAGTGACTGCCAGGCCAATGTGGGGAGACCACAGTGGCAGGCAGCACCTCCCTACCTACCCCAAAGGCAGCAGCAGCCCCTGGCCTCAGGCCCTGGGGGACCATGTGCACTTGTCCCCACCTGGACTCTTGGGTCAGATGAACCTGGTTTCTGTCACATCAGGTCCTAAGGGAAGACCCAGAGAAGTTCATTTTCTCAGTTTAAGCCTTAATTTGGCCCCCAGAAGGAAGACATCCAACCCCTATTAGAGTGCCAGAGCAGGGCCTCCAAAGGAAGCACAGCCTATGGCTGAGCCAGGCTACAGGTGAGCCCAGACTTCCACAAGCACTAGAGTATGCCGGACACATGCCAAGCTGTGGAGGGTTAGGAGAGCACACAGCCAGTGCTGGGTGTCCGCCAGGGCCTTCTACACCATAGGGTACAAGCCTGGCCTGTCTCAGAGGCCTCACAGCCCACTCTGGGTGGAATTCCTCTGCTGCCCCAGTAAGAACCATCCTCTTCTGCCCAAATCACAAAGCAGGGCTCCACCCTCTTGACACTGTGGAAGAGGAGTGGTCTTTGCTACACTTACTTTGTTCTGGCTGATCTGAGAGAGACTTCTCTCATCCTTTGGCCCTGTAGTGTGAGTCTGATCCCAGCTCTGTGCTGAGGGCAGTATAACAGCTCTCAAGCCACAAGCCCCAGCCAGCCTCCTAGTTCTTCACTCTGGGTTCACCAACCTTATGTGATGCTTCCAAGTCCTATTTGACTTCTATCTCTTCCTCAGCTGGTCCAAAATTTGGGCCCAAAGGTGAAGACTATGCTTCAAAAACCTTGTCTTTTTTTCTTTCTCATTCTTCTTTTTTCTTGGGGGTGGGGCAGGAACAAGGTCTTTCTTGCTTATGTATTCCAGGCTGGCCTAGAATTTGTGTCAATCCTCCTGCCTCAGTGGCAGGAACACAGGTATGCACCACCATGACCAGCTCCAGAAACTTATGGGTTATTATCAAAAGGGAGAGCCTTGCATGACATCTCCCCTGGACCCACCTCTCTGCCCTGCAGTTAATAACATGAGTATCTGATACCTGAGTAAAGCTGGGCATGGTGGTGCACACCTGTAATCCCAACAGTTGGGAGGATAAGGCAGAAGGATCACTGCAAGTTTGAGGCCAGCCTAAACTACGCAATGAAACCTTGTCTCAAAAAGATTAAACAAAAAAACAACACCAAGATGAGTCAGCAAGACTCCCAGCAGGAAAATAAAAAAAAATAAAAAAAAAGACTCCCGGCAGGCAGGCCAAAGGAAGGCCAGGGAGGCCTTGTTTAAGGCAGGGATGCTGTGATGGGAAAAGTGAAAAAGCCGGTGGCTGCTTGGAAAGGTATATGGAGCAAGAACAGCCACGCCCAAACTGGCTGGCCTCCCTTTCCCCTCACTCAGTCTCTCCACCCTCTGGCCTCTATGTACTAGTAACCCAATGCCCTGTGTCCCAGATACACTTCTTTAGAGTTCCCCAAGAAGTCAAAAGACTGTCATGAAGGAAAATAAGCAGGTTGCCTATCTGCTTCCCAGGAATGAAGGGAAAAGCTGGCTCCTTCCCTCATCTTTAGTCACTACGGGAGCTGAGACAGAGGCTGCCAGCTGTGGGGAAGGGCCCCAGCTTTTAAGACAGCTGGGAGTAGAGGTGGGTCAAGGGACAACACCACTGAGGGGTATGAGCTCACCATCACCATTGGGGTCTGCCTTGATCGCAGAGTACATCTCCTGAATGTTCTCCGGAGTCATCCACCGTCCATTTCCCAGACGAGTCTGGGCCAGGACCTAAAGTACAAGAGGGTCCCTCAGTGGGATGGCCCAGTGGTAAAGAGCCAACAGAGTATATGTGGCCCATTTCTAGATCCCAGTTCTATTGTACAGCTAAGGGTTCCAATGATAGGACATGGGAGGGGGCTGGGGAGATGGCTCAGTAAAATAAGCGCTTCCCTGGCGCAAGTGCAAGGGCCTGAGTTCAATCCCCAGTTCTGCCAAAACAAAATGGGTAAAAACAAAACAGACCCTGAGATTGCCTCCGAGGAGCTGGCCAAGAAAGGGGTGAGATGGCTGGCTGGCTTTCTTTCTATGCATTTAGTACAGGAGATACAGGATCTCACCATGTACATCAGACTCATAGTGATCCTCCTGTTTTCAGCCTCGCAGGCAGCACCTTGCCCAGTCTCAGTCACTGTCTCAGTGAGCCCTGGAGGCGGGGCAGGATCAAACCCCAGCTGCTGGGCTCTGCCGAATTAGGCACTTTAGTCTGCTGAGCTATCAGGCCCGCCCTCTCACTGGATTTTTTTTTTTTTTTTTTTTTTTGCAGAACTGGGGATTGAACTCAGGCCTTTGCACTTGCCAGGGAAGCACTTATACTACTGAGCCATCTCCCTGGCTCCTCACTGGCTTTCTTAATCCAATACTTTCTATGTATTGCTGACTGAATGCAGAGAGAATAAAATAGGCCTGTGTCACACTCCAGGGGAAGAGAAAGGGCACTGGGGAGAACTGGCCAGAACATGGCCACTGGGATGCTCAAGAAGACCACACACAGTGCAGTGCTGTTTAAACATTGGGAACCCTCAATGCTGCCAGAACTCTCTCAGAAGTCCAGTTGTAAAGGGTATGCAGAGAGATGTGCCAGCCACCTCAGAGTGCCCACCGCTATTCACCAGAGATTATGGGGAGTCACCAGCTATAGAAGCAAACAACCCAGTTCACAGAAGGAACAACATTCAAAAGCTGGTGTGCCCAGGCATGGTGATCCAGCCCTGTAACCCCAGCACTCAGGAGGCTGAGGCAAGAGTTATCACCAGGAGATATAGACCAGCCTGGGCTACATAGTGAGTTCAAGGCCAGCCTGAACAACAAGACTCTGTCTCAAAGGGGGAAAAAAAAGGGGGGGGGGGGCAAGGAGCTAGCTCATCGGCATTAGTGCCTGCCTCAGGTCCTGAGTTTGATATCTGGTACCAAAAAAAAGCCAAAACCTATGGTGATAAATTCTATACCCTCCTCCCATTCTCTGGGATACTCAGGGCAGTAAGGGGCTCTCTACAGAAGAAAGGGGCCCTTGGGTGTGGGTGTGCCCACACAGGCCTATAGAAGCCTCTGCCCATGGGGGTCAGAGCTGAGGTCTCAAGTGCCACTCCACCAGAGAGGTACTTATTGACTCTCCCACCCTGTGCACATGCAGGCCCCACGTCCCAACCTCACGGAGTTGCAGGAGCCCATCATGGTTCTGGTCCAACAGCCGGAAGAGGTCCAGCTGGCTGACCTGCACAGCGCTCATGGCTTCTTCGTACTCTTCGGTGGGCAGGATCTGGCTGCGCTGTAACCCTTTCATCTGTGCCAGGTGGATGATGAGCCGACACTCCTCATCACTCAGGAAGCCAGGGATTTCTGCCAGGAGGTGGGTAGATGAGGCCACGCACTGAACTGCGGTACTGTGCACCCACTGCCTTCCTCCCTTCAGGGTTTCTGGGGTGCTCCCTGGTTGCCTCCAGGTCTGGAGGACTTTACATACCCTTTACATTTGCTCTGTACTCCTTGTCAAGGTGAAAAACCCAGCCAAGGTTGACTGAGACTTGGGATGTGGGGTATCTCATTCATGATACAGCACACATTTTGCAAGGGGGTCCTGGGAGCTAAACTGGAGATTGGCTACCCTCCCTTGGCATAAGACTACTAGCTTGAAAAGTAGACCTGAGCTTAAGGTTTATCTCTTTTTTCTGAACTTTTTTTTTTTTGCAGAACCGGGGATTGAACTCAGGCCCTTGAGCTTGCCAGGGAAGTTCTTATTCCACTGAGCCATCTCCCCAGCCCCAAAAATGGAATAAGGATTTTTTTTTTCTCGGAATGCCTTCAGGGCAGGTTTGGCTGGCTTGAGTTGTGGGGATCGAACCACAGCAACCTGAGCCTGACTGCTTTGTTGAGGCAGCCACTTAAAGAACTGAGCTAATGGGCAGGCCCCCCTGAATACTTATTTTAAGAGTAGGGAGATTATAACTGGTCTTCCTCTAATTTTTGCTTTTTGGAGCTATACAAATAAAAATGAACAAGGCTGGGCGCAGTGACACATGCCTATAATTTCAGCTCTCAGGAGGCTGAGCCAGGAAGATTGCTTTGAGTTCGAGGCCCACCTGGTCTAAGAGTGAGACCCTATCTCAAAACACCAAACCAAACCAAACCAAACCAAATAAAAGTGAATAAGCCAGCATAGTAGCAAATAATGTATAATCCTAGCACTCTGGGAGGCCAAAGCAGCAGGACTACAAATTCAAACTCAGTGTAAGCACCTTATTGAGACCCTGTCTCAAAATAAAAAAGGTAAGAGGTACAGCTCAGTGCAAAGGTCCTGGGTACAATCTTTAGTACCACAGGGGGTTAAAAAGAAAAGAAAAAGGCTAGCCAGTCCAAGGGCCCTGCCCTCCACTCTCCACAAGTGACCAGGGCTGCATTGCCTGGTGCTGGGTATTCAACGGAAGTCACTTAGTACTGACAGGGCCTACAAGCTCCTGAGCAAAGAGTGGTACAGTGTGGAGCTTGGGCCCATCGGCTGCATTCCCACACACCAGCCACAGCTGGTGTACTGCTTGACAGAGCTGGCATGGAAGCTTCACAAAGGGAAGCCCATGTCTCTGTAGCCCTAGCACTTTGAGGGTGGAAGCTTGGGCACTTCTTCCTTCTATTAGTTCCAGGAGGTTTTCCTTAGGGGACAAGAAGCTTAAAAAAATAAATAAATAAAAATTGATGAGATAGGGCCGGGGAGATGGCTCAGTAGAATAAGCGTTTGCCCGGCAAACTCAAGGACCTGAGTTCAATCCCCGGTTCTGCCAAAAAAAAAAAAAATTGATGAGATGAAGTGCCACTTTATAGACTGGTAAAGCTTTAATCATTGGACATGCTTGTAATCCAGCTACTAGAGAGACCGAGGCAGGAAGATCACAAATTCTATGCTAGCCTGAACAACTCTGCGAGGCTTTGTTTTGAATAAAAAATGAAAGCCAGGTGTGATGCTGCATACCTGTAATCCTGGGACAATGGGTTACACCAAACTGCAGATCAGCAATCACCCTTGATTGCTTAAAGAATAAAATAAAAAAGGAGGGAAGGAAGCAGGCAGACAGAGAGAGAGGCAGAGAGAGGCAGAGAGAGAGG